GAATATAAAACTAAAAGGGGAAAGAAAAAAACCCAATAAACACAAGTGATCACAATACAGTTGCTCACCACTGCTAACCGATACCCAGCCCAACCCAAGCAGCGATCTTGGCTTTCCGGGTAACCCCCCAGTTTATACACTGGGCATGACGTGCTGTGGTATGGAATACCCCTTTGGCCAGTTCGGGTCAGGCGTCCTGTCTCTGCGCCCTCCTGTCTTCTTGTGCTCCTCCTCACTGGCAGAGCATGAGACTGAAAAGTTCTTGATCGGAGTAAACATTACTTTAGCAACAACTAAAACATTAGTGTGTTATCACCACTGTTCCCAGATTAAAGCAAATATACAGCACTGCACCAGCTACTAGGAAAGAGAAAAATAACTGCAACAGCTGAACCCAGGACAGTAGAATACTATGTTTTACAACCTCAATTTCTATACAACAGCAGAGATTTTGCTGCTTGAATGCCCCCTTACCCTTTTCAGAATTTCCAAGAGCAATGAATTTTAAGACCAACCTTCAAACCAAAAAATTCTCAATGAAATTGGCTGATGTGCAGCTGTACTGCAGGAAGGCCTGATGTGTCTTTTTTGAACAGGTGGTTTGTCTTGGTAAAATAATCTTGCTGGCACTGCTTGTGAAACAAGTGCTGCTCCTGGCTCAGTGGGAGAAAGGGACCCTGTCACTGTCTACTCTGTTTTCCAAGAAGAAATCTGGCACTTTCTGTTTAGTTGTGGGCGGGAGCGTGAATAACAAAATTCCTCACTGAAATAGTCCTGCAATTACTATCTGCAGCGTAAAACTGGTTATGGGAAAGGATGAACTACTTTCTTAGACAGCAGATGAAAAGAAATTGAAGTGTTTACACAAAAATTGACTGTTTACAAGGAGAAAAAAAAGTGATTAACAAAGCACGCACTGCAAGTCCTTCTTTCATAACATCCAACAGCAATTTCTTTTGCTTTGAATTTGTGCTAGTGAAAAAAGACAAACATGTTTTCTGCCAATAACTGTCTGTCTATTAAAAGAGAAATAGCAATCGCCCTTCTGTTACAGGGTAGACAGTGATGGTCATAACAAACAAAAATTACTCCTGCCGTTTCAGGTCAACCTACTCCCAGAAATGGCCTGTGTGTTGTCGTCTTTATTTTACCTAAACTGGTGCAAAATACAGAATAGAAAGCAGTTACAAGGTTTGAGTTTGCAGGATTTCGACACTAATGCCAGTGGAGCGAATACTAATAGAGCCAAACTGGTGTTCATATGTGATTACTCTAAGAGTGTTAAAACTTTTTTCTTGCTAATTCTGGAGAGGTGCACATCTTACTTATAATGGGATTTAGGTTTAGAAATGAGTTAACACATGCAAAGGCTACTACTTGTGCAAAGATGAACTCACCTTTTTGCACTACTTCTATGACCCTATAAATAAGTGACCATTCAAGGAAATGGTAGCATCCATTTGTAAAACCACCCAGTAATTTTACAAATGCAAAATCAAAGGAACTGTGCGTTGGAATATATGCAGATAAACATAGTTTTACCACATGTTCAACTCCCTTGTCATTACAGCTTTAATAATGCTATGGATGAAAAGTTTTCAACTACAAAGTTGGATCTTAAAAGAATTACATTATGGAAAAGTCTTGTACGAAGAAGAAAAGACAAAACCTACAAAAGAACGACCATAAATGTTGATGCAGTTGTCAGTATCATAAGCACTTTTTTCCTAGCGATTCCATTATGATCAAGCTAGTTGATTATATTCTCACTTGCTTTGTAACAGTTGCCAAATTTTACACCTGCAGCTGTTTTCCCTCTGATACTTCCAGGATAAATACACTTAGTATTTTTGCTGTGAGCAGAGTAAACTGATCTATGTGCAATTAACACAATCACTTGCTAATTCTCATACCCCTGTGAGAAGGTAGCTACCACTTTGACAATAACAACTAAAGTCCTACTGGCTGCAGATTAATCTTCCTAGGTGGTTCTTTTTTAATAGCTCTGTCCTTATTTTGAACTGCACAGTAGTGCAACCCCCCGCAAAGTCCAATGATCAGGATTCTGCACTGTTTTCAGGTTCAAGGAGAAAATGTATGTCAGATCTGTTCTCCGGGGCTTTTTGTAGACAGGGCAGGAATACACACTTCCTTGTTGCTTCTTTGGATCAGGTAGTGCTGTTGTGCTAACAGCATACACATGGACTACAGGAAGACTTGTGAACAGCACCTGAGAATGTTAAAAGAGACACAGGGCTCAGCGTTAGAGAAGCAGGACAGGGTATCTGAACTCCAGACTCTAGAACTAGATTCAGTGGTAGCCTTCAGCAAAAGCACCAGCACCTCAGCAGAGGTACATGCGAGAACACGTGTCCCATGCTCACTACAATATTGACCCCAGCTTTAAGCTAGTGGGCAGCTTGGGGACAACAGACATCTGAAAGCCTGAAAGGAAGAGAAACCAGCAGAAACCTGGAAAACTGCACACCATGGAAGTAAACGGAAAAATGTCAGTATGGTTCTAGGAGAGAAAAAGACCATTGGGTTTTTTCCTATCCCTTGCCCCTTTGGCTAGAGTTCCCCATTTTTTCCCCACCTCCTGTTCTATGAATGGCAGGATTGAAGCTGCAAAGGCCAAGCTGCCTTGAGTAAGCCTCTTTCTTACCTGTGCGCTGCTGGCAATGGACCATCAAAGATCCAAAGTGCCTCTTGGGTATTCTTTCAGACTAGACCCCCTCAGGTCTAACAGCAATATAAAGTATTCACTGGGGGGGTGGGGGAGGGAAAGAAAGACTCAAACCCAAGAGCAACATGGAGGCTCACTGCACACTCCAGAGCACGTGAGTAAACTCAATGTTTGAATGTGTATTTTGGCAAAGCAGGCAACAGAAGCTACAGCTGGCAAGGTCTGGTTTAGAAAAGTTTGCTATCAGCCAGATAGAGAAGTGTTTTACCTATGAAGAGTAAATACCTCAACTCCATTTCCAGGACAGTTATCACTGATTTGGCAGCTTTCCCTGGGTGGTGACCACAGCAACTAATCACTACTCCATAGCTACATTTTAAATCTGCTTAGTCACATCAGAAAAATATAACTTTGTGCATGGATAACTGAGCATAAGCCCAGAACTAATATTTTTCCTGCTATTCAAAAACAAACATCAGGGATTTCTAGTCATCCAAACAGTGACATCCACAGCAGCTGTCATCAAACCTAGTCCTGGGCTTTGAAAATTGTGATAGGGTCCCACTTGGTCAGTCAAAAGAAGGCTGACTAGGGGTTGCACTATTTTACTCAAACACAGCTCTGTTTCTAAGATCACTGAAGCCAAGAAGCCCAGCACCTGGTTGCCATACTGCAGTGTATCCTAAATTAATTTTCTGACAGTTTTCTTTATTTGGTTCTGGTGGATAAACACTGTCCTCTTCCCATCCCTGCTAGTGTTCTACCCTCTTAAAACCTGTTGTGAAACCACTGCTGCAGGCACTCAAAATGCCTCCTGGTGTTCCCTGATCACACCACATTATGCCACAGCTTATCATGCTCACTTGGTGCTTACCTTTGGTGCTGACTCCACCAGCTTGCTGTTTTTGCGGTCCCAACCCGCCCCTTCGAGGAAAAGGCCATATATGTAAACACCACCAATGTCAGCAGGAGGAGGGCCAACAACATCTTCTTTCATCATCTTGGTCACTTCATTGTGTAAAACAACACTGTCGAGTGCCCAGCCTTTTGCTAAATTCATACGAGTTGTCTCTTGCCTCATAGCAGTTAGGAATCCCTAAGGAGATTGAATATGACACAGGGTTTAAAAGAACCTTCAATTTACCCATTTCCAACTTTTTTTCCTATGTAAGTGACATCAGCAGTATAAAACCTAAACCCACAGAATCTCATGTACATGTAAAACTAAACTCGGTAGTGTAAATCCAGTGCTTTCTTACACTTTCCCAGTTCCATTATTCTTATATACTTGGTGTCCATGTGTTAGTGCTAAGAAACATTGGCTTATTCAGCATATTGGAAGCTGCATGTATAACTCACCTCACTTCACATACCTACGTACAACCAGTCACATGGATGCCAGATTAATGTGCTTTGTGAGGTTCTAAAGGCAGGTGATTGCTAAGCCACAAATAAAACTGGTATTTTGTGTGCTATAGAACCCACCTTTTCTTAGACCAACATTGTAAAAATGCTTTTCAGTCAACAAATCATGAAGCATTTTACAGAACACAAAGAAAGTACAAACTGGAATCATGCAATTAGTGAAATGCCTCCATCACTTTGCTCAGTGCAAAGCCTTAATATACTACAATAACATACTATTGTAAACACCAGCAAGATAAACTCACAGCACTTCAGCATAGAATGAAACTCTCTGTTCCAAAGAACTACAGTCTCATGATACAGTTACAAGCTACCACAAGACAAGCCAGGCTGAAGATGCTGTTGTCTCCTCTCATGTAACTATCCATGTGCACACACACTGGAGCACATAGGAAGTACCTTAGCTCCTAAGAGATACGAGAATGAACTGCTTTGCACTTCCAGTGGACATGCTGTAGATGTACACCTTACTTTACCTCACAGAAAACCATTCATAGCCAAGAGATGTACGAATGAATAAAACACTAAAATTGAAGACACAAAAGCAAGAGGGACTTGCTGAGAAGGACAACTAGGAAGGAAGAAGTTTCAGGACAAGTTTCAGAGCAGAAAGAGAAGATATCTGGAGACTGGAGAGAGTACAGAGCCACATGGGGAACACACAAAGGCAGGTATTAAAGAACATAAAGTACAGATAGGAGGAAATCAGGAGCAATAAAGGAATTGAACAAGTTTTTTATTTTTCTTCAATATTCACCATGCAGGATGCTCAGTTGAGCTACTGTTGGGGCCAAAGGAATGGAAAGCAGTCAGATACAGAAACATTAGAACACTGGTCTACTGAATGCAGGGGTCAGCCTCTGGCTGCTGGGACTGGAGCTCTTGTTGCACGTGCTAAGCACTTTGCAGCTATACCCTTTAAGTTATGAGAACATGAGTTGACATTTATGAACTCAGATGTTTCAGTTAACTGACATTGGTTGCTTCTCATTAATATCATTCCAGAGACCCCAGGACAAGTATTTTAAAGAGGTTTTGTGATAGCAGAGATAATTGTAATTGCATTTGAAATAGTTGAGAACTCTAGCACATAGCTAAGGGAGACAGGATTAAAGACAAAGTTCTTCTATCAGAAATGTCATTAAATGAAAGCAGAATCTTTGTAGTTAATTTGTGGAATTTTAATTTGTAGGAACATGCTAGAACCAATAGTTTAAAATACACAAAGTGTTCACTGCCAGAAGGCCTCAGAGGGCTACCGGATCCCAGCTAACGTGAAATATTCAAGAAAGAAGAGCCTGAAGAGGACAGGGCAGAGCAATGACTGTATTAAGGGAATCAGTTCAAAGGCACTGTGGACACACTGGAATAAAAGTAAGCTCAGAGCTGTGAGTTGTCTTCAGGGATATGATTTAGATTGCAGGCTATTCTGACAGAGATGCCAGGACCTATATGCTGTCTGCAGTGGGACTTGTAACACTGCTCTGCTCATTTGAATGAATCCTAGACAGTGTTTAAAGACTACTGCTGTGAGCTGAAGGCCCAGCTGGGTATCCAGAGCAGGTGAATGGCACAATAAACAAGAAGAGAAAAATAAAGTGACTTGAGGTGCCACTGTATGGCTGAGGGCTTGTCTGCCCCTCAAGCACCCCTGACAGGAACATAATGGACCACTTGCCATGACATTTGTTTAGATTTCCTTGTTTGGGTTTTGTTTTCTTGCAGGGGGTTTTTTTTGGAGGCGGGATGGGGGAGCACGTTGAGATTTCAGAAACAGAGAAAGTTATTTCTTCTTTCTTCACCTGCCTTTTCCTGAACTCCTCCCTGGCCTGCTCAATGAAGGCTGCTAAAGCTTTGTCCCTTTGCCTTCTAACAACTCATGCAAACTAACACTGAACCTTCCAGTGAGGGAGAAGCAGGCATCCATGGAAGCTATGACAAGAAATAGAGAAATCCATTAAGTTTATTGCTTTCACAATCATATTCTCTTCTTTACCTTGCTTAGGAGGTTCCTTATTTGTCACTTATTTTGCAATTTCTACAGCAACCAAATTATGACAGGTTTACCAGAATTAAGTGGGCACTGAGGAATAGAGGCATTGTACTTCATATCCTTATTAGTATTCACATGGCTTTGGCATCTAGGGGTCTTAGAAACAGGCTGAGAGTTCATTATGCTAAGAACTATACAACCAGAAAGACTGTTCTGCCTCACAGGGCTTAAAATCCATATACAGGAGAAGTGACGGCAACTGGATACAGTGATGCAAACAAGGAAATAATAAAACAGTATCAGCTACAATATGGAAATTGGGAGGTAAAAATGAGATTTGCATAGTGCAATTTTTTTTTTTTTTTTTTTTTTTTTTTTTTTTTTTTGAGGAAAAAGTCCAGTAACATCAGATTAACTCCCAGGAGGGAAGAAAATTCACCTCTTGTATTGTTCACTCCAGTTATCTTGGCCCAAGGCAGACACACAGAGGGAAGTGGGTTTCTTTTACACAGAAGCCTGAGCCTGCCTTCATTTGTATCACTATAAATAAAGATTAACTTCTGTGAAATTACTGAATTTATCCTGGTGTATAAACAGTCCAAGAGAAGGCAGAGTCAGGTCCTATATTATTTTTTATTGCCAGAATGCCTCATTCTCCCAAGGCTATAAATCTACTTTATTACCTTGTGTTATCCATGGCATCTATCCATTGACTATAAAGCAAACATTGAGATCTATGCAAGCAGGCAAATTACAAATTACTTAGGAGCTACATTTCATCTCACAAATGAAAGGCTTTTTCCTGACTATTTCTCAGGCATTACAAACAAGCCATTAGAACTGCAGCACTAATACTTCATCACCTCAACTTGCTTGAGAAGATAAATATTCTCAACATAAGAAATACTAATTTTAAACACAGTGATATGACTATTAACAAAACAATAGTTAATTAAATAGTAAAGGAGTCTTTGCTCAGGTGACTTTCTATAGAACGAGCCACTTCCACAGCCCAGGTTGCAGAAAATGTCTGATTCTTAAGCTTGTGATTGTCAGCATAAATACATTTTTAAGTCAGGCAAGCATATCTCATTCTGGGATTTTTTTTGTCTGCACACTATGTATTTAGGGATTTTTAGACCTACGAGCTATGTAGTGTTTGATTTTTGTATTTCTAGAGGCTTTCCCACTTACTGTGTACTATGAAATCACAACTTGTTAGGGGATATTTTACTCTGATTATTTGGCAGCTTTTTTGAGAAATCCAGATGTATACATCCAGAAAAAAGCAGGATACCCGATTTGGGCTGGCAAAATTCCAGAACTGACAAAACCCCAAAGCGCAAAAAAGCCAGCAAAAATGGTCATACAAGGCCTGTATCAGCTCCTACTCATCTGTAATGCAAAAACAAACACCAACAAAACCAAAAGCCTGTTAGGGTTGCTTGCAGCCTGATCACCTAAAAAGTTAGTTAGGAGTATTTTAGAGTGCCACTACCAATGTCTTGTCAACAAACCGAATATGGAAGCATTTTATTAAAACTCCTACTTCTCTCCCTCATACTTTTGCTTGGGAACCCTTTGCTCAAGGATTCTGTGAGAACACTTCAATGCTATAAAGTGGTATAGGCAGACAGCTGACACAGACAGGAGAGATGATAGATGGATATTTCCCAGCAGTAGTCCTAGAGAATATTTGCCAATGTTGCTTTCTCTATTCTAGGCAGCTGTTTCAGCTAGCTTCTGCATTGCTAACAAGTACTGAGATTAAAATAGATCTTTAAAATAGCTTTTGCTAAGGCTTTCACAGGAACCTGTTGGCTGGATACTCTCACAATGACTCACTTCCACAACTCGCACTTCCCACAAACATCTTTGAATCATGAAAAGCTTTAATGAATGTGTATAACTGTGCAAAGACACTACACATCACCTAGGTATGTATACTTTACCTTTTTTAACTCCGTTGTCAGCTGTTCCCTTTTTTGTCTTTCATTTTGTGCCAGGTTTTTATTTCAGATGGTAGGCAGGCAAGAGGCTGGGTTTTTTGATATGTCTCTGCAGATGAAGTCTGGCACAATTCTGGGGTGGTATAAATAACAAACCTTCCATTTCAAGGAACTGATTTGCAAGGATTGAGAGCCAAGTCTCTTCTTCCTATGTCAAAGTTCTAAAACTTACCTTGTTTCGTACTCAAAGGGATTTTCATGCAATGAATGAAAAACAGATTACTGTTACAGAGCTGGGGGGAAAGGAGGATAACACTGAAATGTGAAAAGATGTACCTACTCACTATAATTAAAGCAACCAGAAGATGAATTCCATTATTTCAGTAACATTATTTTTGGTCTAGCAAAAATTTTTTGAGTAGATGTTGAAATTAATTTATCCTACATTTATGCTAAAAATGGAATTTAGATTACACTTCGAACAGTCACAGTTCAGTCAGCTTGAAATTCTCTCAGGGTTTAATTTAACCGTTACATAGAAGTTAGAAAGATCAATCTGGCAATCTTACCTGTGGATTAAAGAATCCTGTCATCCAGAACTGGTTTGGTCGGCCATCCCGCAGCCAGCTGCTGAACTGCTGGTTTCTTTCAAGAAGCTCAGTAAACCAAAATCCTAAAGTAGCCGACTCCCAGGAAATCCTAAACCATAGTTTTGGAATTCTAGCATCATACATATTATCTAAAGCATCTTGCAATTCTTCTGACATAATTATGGTTCCTGGAAGAGAAAGTAAAACATTCAGACTGAACTTTCCCCTAGCTTGCAAAGGCAATTAAAACTCCCCAATGACATTCTGAATCTAATAAATCCTCTTTTGTTCTACTTTAATTGCACACCTGTTGCACTAAAGTCTTACCAGTTTGCACTTAATTTGCTCAAACTTGATTCAAAGATAATGGTGACAAGATAAATGATACTTCTTCTGTTATTTTGATCAGAAATAAAGTGTGTTTTTTAAACAGCTCCTTCTCCCTCATACACATTATTTGTATTCATTATATTCATACAGTGCTTGGAATGTGATTAATCATTTAAAACTCTTTAATATATTTTAATGGTTCCTACATACATGATCAATGATAGAGATATACTGTGTAACTCATCTATATCCTAAGCATGCACTGACAATGGTTATATTCAGGAAATTCACTGTTATTAATGATAGATAACTTTGTACATTTCCATTAGCAAGATTCTCAGTGGGAAAGCAGTACGTAGAATAAAGCTAGAGGCAAGGTTTTTTTTTTGGGGGGGGGAGGGTAGTAGCAGCGTGTACTCACATATTCCATGAATAGTACTGTTGTGTCCATTAAAATACTGACATTGACTAAGTAAGTTTTCAGTGACGCTCACTGTTTCATGTGCCAGAAGTTCCTATATCTTGTCAGTTTGTATTCTCAATAGTACTGAGATCTGGCATATGGGCCTGCCTCATTTACATTATAGGAACCTTCCTGGAAGCTTCCATTCTGATTTAATGTTCATGTAATACCAGTGTTCAATGTATCATCATACACACAACTGCTGTAACTGCCATAAGGACAACATGAGATACCAAACAGAATTAGGTGGCTTCTACCACAAAACATGTAGAGGAAAGGGAAGTGGTCTGGGTGACTGCAAACAACTGCAACGGCCCATCCAAACATACCTGGAAGGAAATGTGGCCTGTAAGAGGTAAGCATTTCACATCCCTTCATTTCATTGAATTTGGCAGGTCCCCAGTTCAAGGGAAGAAGAATATCCAGAAAACAAACACCAGCTTTTTATTTAGAAGAACATAGCAGCCAACCTAAACACTTGTATAACACTGTGTGCAAATTTGGTACTTTCTACTATATATCAATGTCAAATAGGATTCAGTTTCTTCTAGCATGAATGCTAATGACCTGCTCGCATTTATAAGCACCTATTTTTGTGCAACAAATGCTCTAAGAAAACCATCAACTTTTACAAAACTGCAAATATTAATAAATGCTGCCTGTCCCACATTCTTTGTAATGGCTTCATAGTCAGGATCAGAATCATGTTTTGGGATAGCTAAGAGTATTTTATAACACAATTAATAAACCGTCTCTTTGGGTATAAATCTCTCTAATACACAACCAAGAGCACCAACATTTAAGAAAGAAGTCACACTGTGTCACCTCCCCCTTGCCTAAAGAATTTTAATATTACATCATACACTTTACTCATGCTCTGGTGGCAGAAAAAGTGAAAAAAAGTCATGCAACACACTTTGGTTTCAAGTTGGAGCAACTGTAGGGAGGGCAGAAAATAAGTGAAGAGCATCGCGTTTGAGCCCTGGGGATCATTACCATCTGAACTAAGTAAAAAAAAACTCTTTAATTTCTGGTTCTTCCTTGTTTTCAGGCTGATACAGCCAACTTGCTCCTGCAACAAGAGTCATGAGAGAGCTACATGTTCCTCTCTATTTTGGGCAGCCTGGATCTTTTCGAATTGGGAGATACAACTAGTCTCTGCCCCAAAGCACAGTGAAATCTCTTAGGATGTCTGCCCATTATGACTCAGAGCAGCTGCTGAGAACACTAAGCCAAAGTGTTCTTGAGGATGAGGTATGTTCACAGTTCTGGCCTTGCCCATGTAGCTGCATAAATATTCCCAGTGAGTGGGTGTCATCTCTGGCAATAGGCATACACTGCTTGAATTTCAGTACTAAATAACATTTGTGGGTGTTGGGATACATTCCTGCAGCTAAAATACTCTGATAAAAATAAAAATATAAAATAATTATCAGAAATAAAATTAGTAACACATGAGAAAAACAGTGGCATAGTTCTGAAGAAAGGTGATAGAGGTGTTGGAAAAACTACATTTGATAAATTGAATGAGTAGCACAACACCATAGGCTTCTCGTATTTAACTTCTGAGAAGCTCAGAGCACTGGTTACCATATGAAGAGACTGAATGTCCTATGAACTTAACATGACAGGTTTGAATGTTCTATGAATCAGACAGGCCAGCTGTTTATAACTCAGTTATTTTGGGGTTTACTTTGTGATATTGCCTTTCTTGAATGGAACAAAGCTCATCAGAAAATGACTGATGAAAGGTCAGGTCAGTTAAAGACATCAGGGTATTTCCATCCTTCCAAAATAATAGGTACTGTAGACATATTGTTTGCACAATATACTCAGTTTGGAAATTTGGATTCCCTGTTTTCATTGCCCTAGATTTATACTGTCTCACTTCTAAACCACATCTAAATCTATCCAATTGCTATGCAGTGAATAAGCCAAATAAAGCTGCTCAGTTCTGAGGACTACTTGTTTTTATTGTTAATTAATGTTATTAGTCTGTTCTTTCAAATTGATCTGGGTTTAGGGTGATTCATTCAATAGATATGATATTCAATGGACTACATCAGGGCCTTGTATTATTTCATGGAGTTGCCCCTTCTTATTACCATACCTACCACTAGCTGAATCTGAAAACTGTGGAATATGTAAAATCTGGGTCTAAATTTTTGATTTCACATTTAAAAAAGCCTGTATTGGGACCAGAAAGCTTACTTATTTCATTTAAATGAGTGGATAAAGTTAGGAACAAAGGAAGGACCTTAAACTCCAGCATGAACCAAAAAAAGCCTCAATCCATTGACCTATTCTCTTCCCACAGGCATGGATGTGAATCAAGAAAAAACAGAATAATTACACAGGATATAAATGAGATGAAAAGTAGCTAGTTTTTCCATCAAGTAGTTTCCCAGTAGCTGACATCATTATAATAGGACTGAAGACTACCCCTTGAGGACAATACTTGCTAGACAATAAGTCTGTTGAACTTAACAGCGCACAGAGGAAAAAGCTCAGTGAAAGCATCAATCCATTCTTGACTGTCACAGTTGCAACTATAGAAGTTGATCTTTTCAGCCTTTAATCCCTGCTCAAGTTTACCTCCCAAGCAACCAGTTTTGTTATTCAACCAGTCACTCCTTTCCTCCACCACCAAGCTTAAGAACCTGTTCTTCGTTGAACGTGTTAAAGAGAAAATCCCACCTTGCTTGTAAATTCATAAGCTGTCCTCCCTTTCTGCTTTATGACAACAGATAACCTGCTTGTACTTTCCACAAAGAAAGCATGATTTATTTTTTCACCCAAAGGTACAAGGCATACAGAATACTAGATAAAACTAATAAAAGCTAATGTATGTTTCCCCATACCTAAAACTTAATCTTTTTTTTGCAAGCTTTAGGGTGTTTCTGCTATCTCAGAATAGATACTGCCACTGCTGTGCTGAAAGAAATCAACTTCTTTTTTTCAGGAAGTTCTTTGGGTATTTCCTTCTTCCTTCACTTGCAGCACTTGGGCACTTCAGCATTTGGAGATGATTCCCAGGAAGCTTTCAGAAGCTCATTTAACTCCACGATGATGTTTTAATCCTGAGGCCCTCATCAATTTATCACCTCCTGGTCTCCAGAACAGTAATAGTAAATCAGACAGCTGAGCCCTGCAATGCACAGCACTCTCTGTTTTTACCTGTAGACTGTGGTATTCTCTCCAGCTGCACTTAACCTTTGCCCCTGTTCTGCTTTCTGTTTGTTTCCCACTTTCTTTTTCTGGTGCAGAATCCTCTGATTTAATTCTTCAAGTCAGGATAGATGAAAGGAACTGAGAAACTTGAGTAGCATGCACTTTTTCACATAAAAAAGCACACAGATTTTCTGCAATAGCTAATTCCGTCAGTCAGTAAGAAGACAATTTGAAAGTAACCTTGCAAATTGTTCTGAAAGTTTATTAGCTCCACTACTAAATGTACTTGGCTGCACCCACCAAAGGACTGAAAATAAAAATTTTAAAGGAATAATTTGAAGATGAAAATCCATGCACAACTCCCAAAAAATAATACAAGTCACTACCCTGAGCTAGAGTAATAGAACGGGCAGGTAAACTATTTTCTGTAGTTCATCTTAAATGTGCAGTGTGTGTTTCTAAACAGTTTTCCTGGCCAGCATCATGGCAAGCATACAAAACAGCTATTAAGAAGCCCAGAAATAACATGCCACACATTGTAAAAGACAACAGGAGGCATTCTGGCATTCTTATCAGGATGAGAAGTAAATAAAAACCTCATCCAAAAGTGGAATACACAGTTGATCCCTACAAGCACACACTGTAACAATTAGTAAGGTGAGAGTCCAAGATTTTTCAGTTCAAAAGGCTATTACAATCAGCAGGCCAAACTAAAATTGTGTTAGTATTATAAGTCTGAAAACATTACAAGTCAAAACAGAACTTAGACAGCAAGTGGGAATGAGTCCATACTCCTTCCCTTCATGGGAAATTACCATCCTCTGTACTCTGCAAGACTAGTTTCCTGAGCTTCAGGTTTTCACCACATAGTTTAGGTAGAACAGATTATCAGCTACCTTTTTTGGAGTGCACTTATATCCCTCTTGTAAGGTGCTACACACAATAACAGAAATTCTTTGCAGCAATAGGATTTAAACACTACTGTCAAGATCATGATACCCTGCCTTGGAAAAAAAATAGCGAATATTTACCTCACTCATTCAGCTGCTTAACACAGGAGTTTGTGCAGGTGATGTAGGAATTCTAATTGATTCCTATTATATGTGTAGAACTAACTATAAGCTACCTCACATCTACATGAAGCTCTGAGTGTTTCAACATATTATATGAAGGAAACATCCAAGGCCAACATGCTGGTTAGCAATGCAATATAAAGATGGTGAGGATACAAAAGCAGGTAATAACAGAGCTTTAATAAGGTAGCAAATAAATGACTGAAATGTACAGAAACTAGTGAAATGCTCCAGTATTCCTCAAGGCCTTGTTATTAACAACTACTACTCAGTCTTAATCATAAAGTTAAAAAAATATTAGAAACACATATAAAAATGCATAATTTTTTACTCTTCGATACCTTCTGTTTCAATAGTCTTACCTGTATTTTCTCACGCTTCTCAACCTGGCATAAACATATACCTGAAATGTGCTAGTGTATTAATTTTGATGCTTTTTCAGGCATATAACTTACGCATCATTTAAAGAAATGCATATGGTATACATCTCTGTGGGTAAAAAGAGAGCAAATAGAATCATAGAATAGTTAGGGTTGGAAAGGACCTTAAGATCATCTAGTTCCAATCCCCCTGCCATGAGCAGGGACACCACACACTAAACTATGTCGCCCAAGGCTCTGTCCAACCTGGCCTTGAACACCACCAGAATTGGAGCATTCACAACTTCCGTGGGCAACCTATTCCATACCAAAGTCCCATCTTCCCTTAGTAATATTCTTGTTTCTGATCCTATTATTCCAAAAGCTCAGATTGCCCACTGCCCTCTATTGCAGTGTAGGATGAGAGTAATCTGTGTCTTTATTTCTTCCCCCCCCACCACCACACGTCCGT